TGGGGGAACATATGGGGAAAGGCGGTCCCTCAGGTAGACAGGCCCCAGACCATAAAGGGCTTTAAAGGTCATAACCAGCACCTTGAAGCGTATCCAGAACGCTATTGGTAGCCAGTGCAGTGACCTCAGCACAGGTTGGATGTGCTCCCTCGCAGAGAGACCCATCAACAACCTGGCCGTGGCATTCTGCACCAGCTGCAGCTTCCGAAGATGCCCCTAGAAACCACAGGAGTGAAGGGCCAATCCAAGTGCATGAATTCCAACGTTTTGGTGCCATCATCAAGAAGGTCCTGCAAGGCAATGGAACTTGAAGCAGGGTCTCTCCTGTTGGTCTTAAGCATGCCAGGAGGTTCATGGTAATAGGTGGTCCTTGAGGTACCTGTCCCCCAATCAGTAGGGCTGCACAGGTCATGGCCAGCACTGTGAACTGGTAGAACTGTCTGGAAACAAACTGGGAACTGGTGACATTGGATCAAGGCTGGCATTATAAGTTTTAATTGTGCGTGGGGGTTTGGATTTTTTTGGATTTTAGTGATGCTCTCTCAGAACTGGTGTGAATTTTCTCTTTTAATCATTTTGTGTATCAGTTTTTAAATTGTGTGAGCTTTCTTGGACATAAATGCCATGCCGAGTTTGGACATTTACTTCAAAAAATAAATAAATAGATGCACTGGTTCTGTTGTCTGTCCTGGAATTCTGCATGTTCATAATAAATTAGGTCGATGTACATAATATTATTCACGTGCATTAGATTTATTTATTTTACTCTCTGATCAGGCTGTGGAATTTCCCTCTTGCAGATCCCTTTACTTGGGGCACAATTTGTTTTGCTCATTTGGGAGGGTACATATTATATTTATTCCTGCTCATCATATCTGGCCTCCCCTAACAGTACCTCGGTCTTGGCTGGAGACTCACTTCTCAAAGCTTTCCCTTGGTGAATTTTCCTGCTTCAGGCTTTGCTGTGAATGGATCTGAAGAAATCTATCCCTTAACAGGCACAGAAACATCACCCACCCACACAAGGCTCCCCCCCCCAATCTTAACATTTTGGGGTGGAAAATGGGAGAAGGAGAGGATACACTCAATCTGACACGGTTCTGCAGACCTTTGAGGGCCAGATGTTTCCTGAACAAAAGAAGAAATCAAACCAGAGAGGAGTGGGATGGAAATGATCCCTGCTCCTCCCTCGCCTCTTCTCCACCTCCCTCTATTGGCACCTTTCTGGAGGCTGTCCCCAGGGGGGCTGAACTCCTGACAGGGCCCCATCTACCCTCTGTGCCCATTTGGGCCTCCGATGACTGGATTCTGTTTTCCTTTCCTTGAAAATGGATAGGGAATTGGGAGCCGCTGTGCAGGAATGTGCCTGTTCCCTATTACGGCTCCGTTGGGGCTGAAACACGATCATGCCTGCACCAGACCTACCGATATATTTATTTATCCATACAGACATTTTCTCTTTGTTTTCATTATGTTAGGTTGTGTGTGTGTGGGGGGGGAGGTTAATCTTTCTTCTGCTCTAAGTTCCAAAATGAAGCAAACTTAAATAAAATAGTCTTTCTTTTTTGGGAGGAGAGGGGGAAAAATTAGTTTCTTCTCTTCTCCCCCATCCTCGGCCTCGTTTGTGAGTCCCAGATTGGGTTGAGATCACAGCAAGAGATGCCCACAACAGCAAATTAAAAACAGGTGGAAAGAAAGAGAGAGGGAGAAGGGGAAATAATAGTCAGAAGAAAGTGGATTGGTCGGCCCTGGGCGATACACAGGAGCGGACGTGTTTCTCCATCCGTGTTTTCTTTCTAGGAATCCCTTTTGCTTGACCGCAGCAGATAGTTTTTGTGAAGTGTCCAGGGTTCACCTTGTAGGTCTCTCTCAAGCTGTTTCCACCTTCCCTCTTGACATATGGGTTCTCTGCTTGGCAAACTCAGGGGACCAGTCTCAGTATGGACATTTGAAGCTGTCTTGTACCAGCTCAGACTGCTGGTCTTTCTAGTTCAGTGCCATCTATTCTGACTGGCAACAGCGCCCCAAGGCCTTTCTCACCATCACTTCCTAACAGGAGATCCCTTTTACTAGAAAATGCTAGAGACCAAACCCTGGGACTTTGCCGCTGAATCAGCCCGTCAGTTTATGTGGCTAAGTAAGATGTGATCTGAGTGAGATGATTGTCAGGCCAGAGAAGAGTTGTTCCCCATGCCTGTTACTTCGGCCTGCAAAGTGTGTGTTTTCCCACTGACTCAAATTTCCATGCAGCAATTTTGTTTAACAAAGCGGTGGTGTGATGGCAGCAGCTTTGGGAGGTTTCCATTTGACGACTCTAGGCGGTATTAAAATGACCAAATGGGTTCCTTTAAGGAAAGAATAAAATTTTCTGTTTATCTTTTCAGTCATTGGGAAGAAAAAGAAATCATCATTACTTTTTTGTACTTTTACAAGAAACTTGTGTGTGTGTGCGTGTGCGTGTGTAGCTCCTGCCTCCCAGATAACCAGCTCATGGATTTATAGACTGCTGGTTGATCACAGCAGGGGCTTTGTTTCTCACAATTTATGGCCACTTAATATGATACACTTCTTGTGGCAGCCGCGCACAGCCTCTCGATCTGATGTGTGGTGGGAGATGTGTGCCTCTCAGGCGTACATAGGCCAGGTTCTGATCATGACTATAGTGCCTGGAAAGAAGTGACTTCACTTGCCTCCCCCAATGCCATTTTCTCATGTTGAAATGGCCCCAGGGAGTCCTTATTTGCTCTAGTAGCCATCACTAGACCGAAGTTTCCCGTTGGAGAAAATAGCAACTCCCCAGCCCAGAGCCATTTCAGGATGCATAACAGCAGCACTATAGGGTTGCCAGCTCTGGGATGGAGAATTCCTGGGGATTTGGGGATGAAGACTGGGATTTGTGGAGTGGAGGGGGCTCAGCAGGTCATAATGACATAAAGTCCACCCTCCACAGCAGCCATTTTCTCCAGGGGAAATGATCTCAGTCATCTGGAGATCAGTTGTAATTCCAAGAGACCTCCAGGTCCCACCTGGAGGCTGGCAACCCTACACTGGGACAAAGGCTGAAGTTGCATCTCCCTGTGTGTCAGGGTCACAATCAGAATCAGGCCTATATGTATCTGGGAGGCACAGAATGAGGACTCTATCGCGTGAACTGGCCCTTCTGCTGATAGGTCGGCCTTTCTTTAGGTCTTTGATCAGGTTGAAAGGAAGCCAAAGAAGGCACAAGGGGGTGGGGGTCACTTCAACGTCCACTGTTCTCTCTCAGACAGCCAGTTTGGTGTAGTGGTTAAGTGCGCGGACTCTAATCTGGGAAAACCGGGTTTGATTCCCCACTCCTCCACTTGCACCTGGCTTGGGCAAGCTGTGGTTCTGATAAGAGCTGTTCTTGAAAAAAGAGCAGTTTCTGTCAGAGCTCTCTCAGCCCCACCTACATCACAGGGTGCCTGTTGTGGGGAGGGAGTTTGTAAGCCGCTCTGAGACTCCGAGTGAAGGGTGGGGTATACATCCAGACTCTTCTCTCTTCTTCTTCTTCTTCTTCTTCTTCTTCTTCTTCTTCTTCTTCTTCTTCTTCTTCTTCTTCTTCTTCTTCTTCTTCTTCTTCTTCTTCTTCTTCTTCTTCTTCTTCGAGGCCAACCCCAACTGATGGCAAAAGTTCAGAACTTGAGGACTCGGGGCTCCTTTTTACGTCAGAATGCCGGGAAGTTCTCTCAGTCAACATGCATGTCTGTGTGCACATGCGCACACACTCGCACAGCACTAACCTGTCCAGTTCTGGAAACGGACAACTTTTATATAAAGCCCAAAGGACGCTGGCTGTAGTCCGGATGTCTGCCTGCTTGCGTCCAGGAGAGCTATTTTTGAAAGTTTACAAAGCAGTTGGGGGTTGGGGGTTGGGAGAGCTACCGCCTCAGGTCTACTTCCAGCAGTTCTTATACAAACATCTCCCCAAAGCTGCTTTTTAAACGCTCGGGAGCTGAAACAGCAATGTGTGTGGAGGGGCGGTGGGTGCTCCAAGGGGAGGCTTCCAAGGGAAGCCAGAGGCAGCCAGGCAGACATCATTCCCGGACCCCACTGAGGTCCCCACTTCCTTTTGCTTCCAGTGGTCACTGACGGAGCCATCACAGGGAGGGAAGGGATCAGCCTGGGTCCATCATGCCTGGGTCCAATGCCAGCTCCCTCACCTCCTTCCAGCATATGGAGCCCTGAGAGGGAAGGCAGGAGGCAGCTGGGCCTCCTTCCACTGTCTTCGGTTCCAGCTCAGTTCAGAGTTCCCTTCCAAGGGCATGTCATGGAGTGAACTTTGCTTGTTGTTTGTATTAGATTTGGAAACCAGTCCTTGGCTGAAAAGCAGGATAAAAATATAGTGAATGGATTAAAACAAATGGCATCCATCCTCTATTGTGCTAAATCTCTCCCCTACTACCAATTTTGTTGTTAATACAAAAGGCCCCAGAAATAAGTTAAATTCTCCCCCCCCCAAGAAAGGGGGGGGAGCAAAGGCCAGGTGCTACAAGTGGAGCGTGGCCGTGGTATAGTGGGATGTGTGCAAATCCTCACTAAGCCCTGTGTGACGATAGGCTGGTCTCAGTCCCTTAGCCGAATTAGACTCAGAGGATGGTATGCAAATAAAACGGAATCACTCCCCCCTACATAGATCATTGGCGTGCCATTTGCCCACTCTCAGCAGGTAACCCTCCCACCCTCAGCCCCAATTCCCCCGGCCTCTAGAAATTGAGGGGTGGATGAAAAACAGCATGCCCGTGGATTTCCCCATGGATCTACGGTCCTTATGAATTCCTAGAGCCTCACGCAGAAGTAGAGTCATATCCTCCCCAAACGCCACCCTCCCCCGGCACTGTCTTCAATATCTCCCAGCATTTTCCAGAGCAGTGCTAGCAACCCTAGCATACCACCACAAGCTTCCTTGGAGAGGAGAATGGACACACATGCAAAGAGGGTAAGAAATACTATCAGCTCACCTTTGCTTCTGTTCTCTGCAGGAGAGTCCTTGAGTTTTGCCGATGATTTGCTGTCTGGCCTTGGAACAGCCTGTGTGGCTGCTGGCAGAAGCCACGGGGATGCCCCTGACACCAGCCTCTACTCCGTCATTTTCAAGTGCCTGGAGCCAGATGGACTGTACAAGTAAGGAAGGAAGCGGGAAGGGGAGGTTAGGAAATGGGAAACAGCAAAGGGGAAGTATGGGGGAGGGAGCTTCTCAGTGCCAGAAGCCGCTTGCCTTGCTCTGAGCAGTCCGTAAAAGGCCGTGGCTCTGCAGTGAAGCACCTGCTTTGCACTCAAGAGGCCCTCTTTCCGTCTGCCACTAGTAGTCGGAGTAGACACTACCGAGCTAGATGGATCAATGGTCTGACTTGGTATAAGGCAGCGTTGTGTGTCGACATTGTTAGATCCTGTTGTAGTGAAGGAGTTTGGTTAATTAGTAGAGTGTGTGCTTCCAGTGATGAGTGTTCTCAGATTCAGTCCTTGGCATCTTTGGTTAAAGAACCTCAGGTAGCACATGCTGGAGAAGACCCTTCTCTGCCTGAGCACCTGGAGAGCCTCTGCCAGTCAAAGTGGACAGCACCGTGCTAGGATCACCAGAGGTCTGACTTGGTATGTGACAGATCCAGTTGGTCAGCCATGTTGGTCTGAAGCAGTACAACAAATTTAGAGTCCAGTGGCACCTTTAAGACCAACAATAATACCTTGAATAAACCTTTGTTGGTCTTAAAGGTGCCACTGGACTCTAAATTTGTTGGTATGCGACAGTTTCTTCCAATTTAAGTATGAATCGGCATGATTTCTGACTTGACAAACTGGTTTCTGATTGGTTGGCAAACCAGAATTTGAAACCATGTTATAAGCGGGTTTGCAAACCGTGGTTAAGGAAGCATCACTGTGGTTGAGCAGGATGTCTGCTTTGTGAAACTATGGCTTGCAGTCAACTGGCACATCTGAATCAGAAACTGTAGCCTGAAGTGTGCTTGCAAACGATGATCACTGCTAATTGTAGTTTGGCTTGATGTCAGAATAGATAAACCATAGTCATAGCTGTTGTTTTGCCAATGGAGGCTACGACACCATGGAAATGGGAAACAGAGTGCTGCGAGGATGGAAAATGAGAGCAGATGCAAACTCTGAACCAGGGTTTGCCAGTTGATGCTTGGAAACCCAGTCCACGGCATGAGTTCAGCCGGCTGTAGTTCAGAAATGTGGCCTGAGCAAGCCGTGGTTTGGCACATTGTCAGTTTAAAGTGAAGTTTCAGAACAGAATGTTGTTTGAGAAGCAGAAAAGGAGACTAGAAACCCTGCGAGATGAAGGGCCCAGAAGCTGTGATAATAAAAACCTATTTTGTACTGAGTAATGATTTGTTGTTGTTGTTGTTCTGGAACCACAAAGACCATTAAACCTGTAAACTGGCACCTCTGTTGTCAATGAGCACTTTGCAGACTTGATTAATACGTTCCTTTTGCCTCTCCAGTTTGTGGCACTCCCCTCACATCACACACCCCCAGTTGCCATCCCAGCTCACCCCTTCCCCATTATGTGTGTCCAGGATCCAGGGGAAATAAGGAAATGGCTTTATTACACTGTACTTTATGAGGCACGCAGGGTCTAAAACGTGCTTGCCATTTAATAATTTTTAATGTTTCCTCTTTGTTTCTTTTGGAAAAAAACATTATAGATATTAATATCTCTGGAAATCAGGCTCTTCTGAAAAAGTGCCCAGTGTGAATGTGGAAAAGGCAGCCAGGCCGCTAGTCATTTGCTTCTAATAAATTGCTCATGCGCTATCGGTCACTGGCTCTCTGGTTGCCAACCGAGCCAGAGGAGAAGGGATTGTTTCCATTCTTCTTCCAAAGGTCTCACAAGGAAGCAGTAGAATGTAGTGCTGACCTTTAAGATGCCCGGGGGGGTCTCAGATGTGCTTCCAGCTCCTTCTCTCCACTCCCTGGGAGACCCACCAAGTGACTAACCCTTCTCGTCTTCCCTGCCTGTGAAACAGACAAATTGTCTGTACTTCCCCCCCTTTTTTTTTGACTCCCAGAGTTACTGTTCATCATTAGCAATGTGCAAAACCTGCTGTTTTATTTCCATGAAAATATTATCTCCATGTTCTCAGATACTCATGGAAAGTCCGTAATGTGTCTCAGATATCCTCTTCTAAACAATGCCTGCTCGTATGATGTCCCTTCTCCACCCGCCACGGGCAAAAACTGCTGCTCATCCTGAATGTGAATCACAGTTGGATGCTAGCATGTGCTCATGGACATTTTAGAAGTGTGGTTGCAGGCTCCAGGTTATTGTTGGCATGACAGTTCCTGCTCCACTGTCCTGCCTTGTGTCAGCAGGTGTGGATCTGCAAGTGCATGGGCGTCCAGGAATGTGTATCCTGACATTAGGGATCAGTTCCTGGAATAGTTTCTCATAGATAGATAGATAGATAGATAGATAGATAGATACAGAGATAGATACAGAGATAGAGATAGAGATAGATAGATAGATACATATAGATATAGATAGATACATATAGATATAAATATAGATAGATAGATAGATAGATAGATATAGATGATAGATA